CGCTGGGATTACAGGCGTGAGCCACCATGCCTGGCCCCTTCACTTCATTTTTCTGCATAGTTTCTATGCTCTTGGTAAGAAATTAACAGTCACAACCCTCCTTTACCCAGGTAGAATGTAAATCAACATGGGCAGGGATTTCTTGGTGTTTGGCCACTGCTTTATCCCCTCAGTGCCTAAAACAATGTCTGACACGTAGTATCAGCAAATATTCAAAGTATTCAATAAATATTTTGGCCAAAACAAATTAATTTGGCCTAAAATTCTCATTAGCTATTTTTGACTGTCCTTTCTACTAGATTCTAAATTCAACAGCATTTTCTTCATCTCAGTCCCCATAACTGCCCCACCCCGTCCCTCCCCGTTTCGAGTTTAGAATGACACTTTGAACATACTAAAATATGATTTGATATTGCAATGTGATTTGGGGGTGGTCTGCTGTTTGGGGAATTCATTCTCCTCTCCACTCCCCAAAACAAACAAGCACTCAGTAGCAAACTGTCTTAGGAAGGGTGGAAAATGTCTAGCAATTTCTCATCTTATCCCCAGGTTAGGTTCCTCCGGTCCCTGCTCCCTGAGGCTGATGGACAGGCAGGCAGGACAGCCTGATCCATCGATGCAAAGGTGCCCTCCTCCACTCGTTTGCTGCTGTGTTTCTGAGTCACATCTTCCCTGGGCTGTGGGAAAGTGTTCAGTGTATGGCTTCACAAACTGCACTGCAGCAGGGAGAGCGGGCAGTTGGAAATGATAGGGAAAAGAAAGGATCTAATTAAGCAGAGTAGGTGATAGTGTTGGGAAGAAAAAGCAAGCAAGTGGCAATTTGGATATTTGCCTGCAAATAAAAGAGATGACTGTCGTTTTCTCCTCTGGCTCCTGTTTGCTCTATAAATCTCAGTTCACAAATCCAAGTGTTTTAATTATCGCTATATAATACAACATGCTGTGCTGGGCCTATCTTAGGGAAATTAAAACAAAGGAGGGGGGCAGAGGGATTCAGGCTACCCCGTTCTCCCATTTCTCTTGTTTACAATAATCCGAAGGTGTTTCTCCCCGCTTCTGCCATAAACACAACATGGGGTTTTCCAGTATTAACCATATCACCTTCCTCCACTCACAAAAAGGAAATTCAGGCCCTAAGCTGTTGTCAACCATGCAACTCAGTTGCCAGGTGTCACATTGCCCACTGTTGCTGTTTAATCCCCAAGAAATCAAAAGAACCAGGTCATGAATGAAATGCCAGGTCCAGCTCAAAAAGGAGAGTCCCTAGTGGGAAGCAGCATGATGATTAAAACTAGCATTTGAATATCACCTTCGCTACATACTAGCTGTGTGGCCTTGGGTAAATCATTTAACCTCTCTGAGTCTCACACTTCAAAGAAAAAAACAGTGATAGCAGGATTAAATATGTAAGACTAAAAAGCACTTAGCACAGTGCTCAACACATAATCAGTGCTATGCAACACAGTCCCATCTCCAGTCTTTCTTTGCCATTTCAAATGCCTACATTAAGCTTCTCCCAGAAAGCTGCATGGTTCACTCCTTCCCTTCTACCTTATCAGTGAGACTTCCTTACCCTAAATAAAATAGTAGTCCTCCCATCACACACACTGCATTTCCCCTTATACGCTTCATTTTTGTCCATAACAAAGTACTCCTTGACATTTTATATACATACACATACATTCATGTGTGGCTTAACGACTGGGGTAAGTTCTGAGAAATGCTTCATTAGGCGATTTCATTGTTGCGCGAACATCATAGAATTAGAGCGTACTTACTTAAACCTAGATAGTATAGCCTACTACAAACGTAGGTATACCATACAGCCTATTGCTACTAGGCTACGAACCTATACAGCATGTTACTGTACTGAATACTGTAGGCAACTGTAACATAGTGATAAATACTCGTGTATCTAAACATAGAAAAGGAAATGCACTGCACTAAGCTAAGACATTAGGATGGCTATGACATCACTAGGCAACAGAAATTTCTCAGCTCTATTATAATCTTACGGACCACCGCCGTATGTGCAGTTCATCATTAACCGAAATATCATTATGCAGCCCACGACTGTACACATATATATTATGTATAGACATACACACATATACATACACTTACATATATATAAAATTATTTTGTTAGGGCATCTTCCTCACCTAAACTTCAAGAAGGCAGAACTTGTGTTGACCACTATATTTCCAATGCCTGTAACGGTAGTGCCTGGCATGTAACGGATGTTTAATAAATATTAACAAAACCAATAAATAGAAGCTATTTTTTCTATAATAGTTGGAAGGGCCCTCATAGACCACCTAGGCTAAAGTTCTTTGCAGGCCAGGAAATTGAGACCAGGTGGCATCAGATGACCTGCCCTATGGTTCCAGCTTCCCCAGAACTGAGTGGCAGGGGGTAGGGACCCTGACTTCAGTGGCTTTGCTCTGCCTCAAGTCAGCCCATTCAGTGCCCACAGCAACTTAGCAGGTTGGTGCCCTGTGCTTCTCATCTGAGGAATGGAAATAAGCAGATGGCTCACCCTCCCAAGTGTCAGGATGTGGATGCCCAGTGACTGGCATTCTATACAAGCAAAAAGGACAGGTGGAGACACAGAAGTCCACTCTGGAAATCCATCAACAAATGTCCTCAGAATTGAGGAAATGCAGACAGCTGCAGCACAAAGGAGCTAAAGGTCACTGCTGTTCTCTCTCAAAATCCACCCGCATCAAGGACCCTCTTGGCTTTCTGCATGATTGAAGGCAAGCAACTGTAGTCTCATTTCTGGGGTGCCTGGATGACCTCCTCTTGCACAAACACAGGGGATCCTGTGGGGAGAAATGCCAACCCCAGCTCCATCATTTCTAGGTGCATGACCTCTCTGGGTACCAACTTTTCGTAGCTTAGGATCAAAGGAGAAAACACGTGCACAGCACCTGGCACAGCGCATGGCACACTGCAGGCACATGAAATCATTAGCTGTTACGAACCACACGTTTAATATTCAAAGTCAACCCTCCATACATCTCACCAGCTCCTACCATTGCCCCTTAGAGCTGGGAATCTGAAAAGAAGGGCTTGCATTGGACAGGGGCTATTCGGCCTTAGAAATGCAACTCCAGGTAATTGTTTAAAGGAGCCCATTTTCCTATTCAAGTAGAGTGAAAAGAACTCACACTCCACCTCAGTCCCCAAGTCACTCAGGACCTCATAAGGCTGGCAAAGGGAAGAGTCCAGTCTGAGAGCATTGGCCACTTAACTCTATTCCCAGAAAGTGGGGTCTGACCCAGAGCTCTCCAGAAGGTGAGGTAACAAGACCCAACAAAAATATCCTGTGTTCTCTTCACCACCTGTCTCCGCAAGCGAGTAACAAGACGAAGTGTTAAAGAGAGACACCACCAGTAATCAGAATGTGGTAACTAAATGAGGCTTGTGTCTTCCACTTAAAATGTGCAAGCTGGTCCGGTTCCTCAGCCTCTCTGAACCTGCTTCCTCAACTGTCTAAACAGAAAAGCAACCTCCACCTCCTGGGACTGGTGAAAGGATGAAATGAGAGAATTCTGTTCAACGGTGTCTAGGACATTAGCTGCTGCTTTTAGTTCAAGAAGCCCAGTGCAGCCTATGCCGGAATAAGCATTAATTGCTCCAAAAGAACACTCTGTACAGCAAAGGCAGCCCTTTCCTAGACCACAGACCACACCACTCCAACATGGGCCACAGGTTGGGAGCAAACACTAACTCCACCAGAGGCTTCCTGAAATCATACAAGTAAGAGGGGTGAAAGTAGGAGGGATTCGGGTGCAAAAAAGCACAGGTAGAAACTGAGACACAAACAGCTTCTGAAAAGGGGGTACCCGGCTGGAAGTGGTGAGGGAAGTTCCCCCACGAAAAAACTTGGACTTGGCAATCATTGCTTTGGACTTCCCAATGTAAAATGCCACTTTTGATGACTTGGGGATTCTAGAATGTTCCGGTCGCTCACTGATTTACAAATATAAGGTCTGGGATGACCTAATCCTGCGTGGTGTGTTCCAAGGGCCCCCAAGGCGTTCCAAGAGCTGGTGACTTTCGGCTCACGTAACCTGGGCCTCAGTTTCCCTCCAGACCCTAACGAAGGCGCTAAAGGCTATTGCCTCTACAGGGAGGCTGAGAGGCTAAACCGGGACAGCGCGCTAAGGCGCTCCCTAGACACAGCACGGAGCTCCCCGCGCGCGGTTCCCATTCGCTCCCGGAGAGAAAGGCTGCGCGCGGGCTCACACCAAAGCCCAGGACCTTCCTCCGCTGCAGCTGTAGAAAAAATAATCATAAGAAAGGAACTGGAACGCGAGCTGGGGCAGCGGCCGGGCCGGGGGCTCCTCCCGCAGGCGTCCAGGAGCCGCTCGGCCCGTGGCCCGGCCGTGGAGCAGGCGCCCCGCGGGAGCGCTGAGGCCCCGCTGTGCCGGGCCGGGCGGGGGCGGCGGAGGCGGAAGCGGGGGCGGCGGGAGCGCGGTGGGGATGTTTAAAGGAAATTTACAATCATTTCCTCTCTGTGGTTTGGTGACAAATCAACAACATCCTGTTCTTTTGTGAGGCTCCGGGCGCCTGCGAGGCGGGGGCAGCGCTCCGGCTCTTAAAGGGACACACACAGGGCCCCTCTCCCAACGGTCCCCTGCGGCTCCCCCCAAAAAAAATACAGCCTCCTCAAGGCATCACCTCCGGGGGCGCGCGGCTGGAATGCGGGGGCTGCGGCTGGAACCGCCCCTGGGCCACGACCCGGATCGCATCCCTCACCCCCCAACCCCGCCCGACGCGAGGAGACGGCTGCGGCCGCGGCGCACCCCTCTGAAGGACGTCGCAGCCCGGGGCCATCTCCTGCCGAGGGGGCGGGCAGGGGGCGGGCAGGGGGCGGAGGGGCGTCCTCCTGAGGGTTCCCCTCCCTCCCCCCAACCCCAGGGCAGCTCCGCCGGGGCTTCGGACCTCCGGGGAATTATCCCCCTCCCCCAGTCCCCTGGCCTCGGGTATTGCTGTCCCAGAACTCTGCGGATTTACGGTTAAAATGTCGATGTACGCACAGGAGGTTTATAAAACGCCAAAGCAGAGAGAGACTTCCCGAGCTGCAGAAGTAATGAGAATCAGATGGTCAGGACCAGAAAAATAATAATAAAAAAATACTCAACTGCCCTCCTGGGATTTCGTTCATTCAGTCATTTAATGAGTATGTTTTACTAAGTGCTGGTCACCACTCTAAGCCCCCGCACCGCAGGAACAAGATAGATACGGTTCCTGCCCACAGGGGGCTTAGATTCTCAAAAATAAATGAATGAACAGGATTATTTCACATCTGTAAGTGCTGAGTTTTTTAATGGGTCACATTCTGGAACAGCGGCTTTCTGTAGGGACACCTCTCTGAGGGGTCTGACCTGAGGCCTCCAAGGATGGAAAAGCAAGGGTGCTAGGAAGAACTGGGTTGGAGAGGTCCAAACATTACCATCAGGAAAGAGCTCAGAAGTCCCATCCAAAAGACCCGAGTGAAGGGCAGCCCCAGGGCTGCATTTTCCCCTTGAGAACAAGCCTTGATAAGGGGCTTGGGTCCTTCTGCTCTGGCTATATCACCTGAGCCGTTTCCTTCCATTTCTCGGCCTCACAGCTTCCTATAGGGAAAATGAGAACACTGAACTAGATACAGTACTTCTCAACCTAGGTGCAAATGAGAATTCCAAGGGAGGCTTTCAAAAACACTGACACCCCTGACCCCACCTCAGACCAAGGGTATGAGGATCTCTGGTAATGGAGCCTAGGCGCTGGCATTTCTGTAAGGCTTTAAAAGTGAATTTAGTGTACAGCCAGTACAGCCAGGGTTAAGAGCCACTGACCTAGGGCCGGGTGCGGTGGCTCACGCCTATAATCGTAGCACTTTGGGAGGCCAAGGCGCGCGGATCAGTTGAGGTCAGGAGTCTGAGACCAGCCTGACCAACATGAAGAAACCCCCTCTACTAAAAATACAAAAGTAGTTGGGCGTGGTGGTGTGCACCCGTAATCCCAGCTACTTGGGAAACTGAGACCAGAGAATCGCTTGAACCCGGCCGGCGGAGGTTGCGGTGAGCTGAGATCGCGCCATTGCATTCCAGCCTGAGCAACAAGACCAAAACTCTGTCTCAAAAAAAAAAAAAAAAAACCAAAAACAGAGCCACTGATCTAGACGATTTTTAAAGTTTGGGTTTAACGTGCAGTAGGGTGGCCGGGCGCGGTGGCTCACGCCTGTAATCCCAGCACTTTGGGCGGCAGAGGCGGGCGGATCATGAGGTCAGGAGATGGAGACCATCCTGGTCAACATGGCGAAACCCCGTCTCTACTAAAATACAAAAAAATTAGCCGGGCGTGGTGGCGCCACCTGTAGTCCCAGCTACTTCGGAGGCTGAGGCAGTGGAATCCCTTAAACCCACCCAGGAGGTGGAGGTTGCAGTGAGCTGAGATCGCGCTACTGCACTCCAGCCTGGCCACAGAGCAAGACTCCATCTCAAAATAAAATAAAATGAAATAAATAAATAAAGTGCAGTAAGAAGGCCAGGCGTGGTGCCTCACACCTGTAATACTAGCACTTTGGGAGGCCAAGATGGTGGATCACCTGAGGTCAGGAGTTTGAAACCAGCCTAGCCAACCAGCCTGGCCAACATGGTGAAACCCGGTCTCTACTAAAAATACAAAAAAATAAATTAGCCAGGCATGGTGACAGGCACCTGTAATCTCAGTTACTTGAGAGGCTGAGGCAGGAGAATTGTTTGAACCAGGAAGGTTGAGGTTGCAGTGAGTCGAGATCCTGCCCCTGCACTCCAGCCTGGGCGACAGAGGAAGACTCTGTCTCAAAAATAAATAAATTAATAAATTAATTAATTAATTAAAAATGAAGTGCAGGAAGAGCTATTTCAATTCAGGGTATAATCATCCACGTTCATTGAGTGCTTAGCAGCTGCTATATAATACCCTAAGTAAGCTACATATATATTTTGTCTAAGTTACAAAGAAAAACCCTACCAACTAAGATATATATTATTATTGTTCCCATTTACAGATGAGGAAACTGGGTACAGGGATGACACAAAATGTGGTCAAGGGCACACAGGTAATAAGTGGTCTTGTCTGTATCCTGTAAGCTGAAATGCCTTTCCAGTGGCAAGGAACAAATTTCTACCTAATGGTGTTGTTAATCAGGCAGAGTAGCTACCTACAGAAGAGCATGGGGTGCTATAAGCCCAAGCTGCTCATACATCTTGGACAGAGGCAGTGGACTGGCCTAGATGCCCAGATTGGAGGTCTTAAAAGAGAGATTGTAACTCAAAGAAAACAGACTTTTATGTTTCTCGGTGCTAATCCTCTCGGTCGTTTTCAGAGATGATTCCCATAAATTGTTAAAGGTATGCCTTGGCCAGACAGAGGAAACAGTTGGCAAGGTGAGGAGAAAAAATAACTCCCTGTGTACCCCAGTAATGACCAGGATAGCATACACTCCCCCACCCTCCTCACTCTCCCTTCTAGGGCCCACCCCATGCCCTTTTCACCTTTGACCACCTTCCCATTTGTGCAGTTCCTTAAGGGAGGATCAAGGGAGAGTATAAGCATGAGCTGGGACAGGTTCCCTAGGAAAGTAAAAGATCCGAGAAAGCAAAGATAAGATGAAAAGGAAGATGATGCATTCTTACAGTGGGGCACTGTGCTGCTGTCAATAATAAGAGAGCTGTTAGACCAGAAAGATGCTTGTAATATACAAGGTGCAGAATAGAGTCCTCTCATTGATATTTTTGTAAATCACACACACACACACACACACACACACACACACCCCCACCCACCCCAGAACCATCTGGAAGGATAAACTCCAAAGGGTTAGGGTTAGGAGTGATGGCTGGGCAGAGGCATGAGGGAGGGTCGTAAAGGGGTGTGTGTAGTGTAAATCTATAATTTTTTTTTTTTTTTTTGAGACAGGGTTTTGCTCTTGTTGCGCAGGCTGGAGTGCAGTGGCGCAATCTCAGCTCATCGCAACCTCTGCCTTCCAGGTTCAAGTGATTCTCCTGCCTCAGCCTTCCGAGTAGCTGAGATTACAGGCATGTACCACCATGCCCGGCTAATTTTGTATTTTTAGTAGAGATGGGGTTTCTCCATGTTGGTCAGACAGGTCTGGAACTCCCGACCTCAGGTGATCCACCAGCCTCGGCCTCCCAAAGTACTGGGATTACAGGCATGAGCCACTGTGCCCGGCCTAAATCTATAATTTTACTTTCTCTCTATTCATCTCCATATTATTTAAATTGGTGACAACAATCATGTATTAATTTTTTAAGATAAAGACACTTCTACTGACAAATAATAAAAATAAGTATTAAAAGGGGAAGCATGAAAACCCACCCTGGGTCCTGGGAATTCTATGCAGGGTAGCAGGGTAGATACCTGGTAATGCCATATTTCAGCTCTTCCGGGTTGATGTCCATCATCCCCTCACCCTCCCACAGCCTTCCATTCCAGTGGTAGGCTCTTACCTGGTCAGCCTACTCACCTTTCAGTCCTCATGTGTTCCACACAATTTTCTGGGTTTTAGAAGATGAATTTGAGAGGTGCTGGTTCCAATTGATGTAAGAAATGACAAAATTCACATGAGAGGGAAAAGTTGTCCAAAGTGCCATTCGGTGGTACTGCTGGTGGTGGAGGTGGGTGATGGGGATGGCATTTGAGTTCAAAGGCTCTGACTTCCCGTGTCTATGTGTTGCTCTTCTGGAAGCTTAGAAATGTAATCTGACAGTCCAAGCCCTGAAGAAAAACAATAGTGCTTTGTGGTAAGAACCTTATTGCAGAAATCTGAAAGCCTAGGGGTAGGAGGTCTGCTTATAACATGTGCAGAACTGTTCCCTCCAATTAGGAGCTGATAACTCAGCAAACATATGACCCGAGCAACTGGCGGAAGGTGAAATGTCATGGTCTAGGGAGGAATTGTTTGGCCACTCTGTGCTTCCTTTTATTTATGTTTTCTTAGATCTTTGCTGTTTATAAACAGCATAATGCATAGTTCAGAGCATGAGCTAAGGAGACAGAAAACCCACGTGGGATTTCTAGCTTCACTACTTTCTATAAGCCTCAGTTTCCTCTTTTTTGAAATGGGAATAATATTACCTATGTAATATGTAATATTTATATAATATAGATAATATTTATATAATGTAAATAATATATAATTATAATATTATATATATAAATATAATACAGACCGGGCATGGTGGCTCATGGCTGTAATCCCAGCACTTTGGGAGGCTGAGGCAGGCAGATCACCTGAGGTCAGGAGTTGGAGACCAGCCTGGCCAACATGGCGAAACCCCATCTCTACTAAAAATACAAAAAATAGCCGGGCATGGTGGCAGGCACCAGCTACTTGGGAGGCTGAGGCAGGAGAATCGCTCAAACCCGGAAGGCAGAGGTTGCAGTGAGCTGAGATCACACCATTGCACTCCAGCCTGGGTGACAGAGCAAGATTCTGTCTCAAAAAACAAAAAAGTGTGTGTGTGTGTGTGTGTGCATATATATGTATATAAAGTATATAATATGTTATATACAATTATACATTTATATTAATATATAGGTATGTAATATATTAATATTATTAACATGTTAGTATATTAATATATAATTGTATATAACATTAAATATATTATATATAATAAGATTATATCATATATATATATAACATCATAATATATAATATTATGTTATAATAATAGTACTTACCTTACAGAGGTGTCGGTGAGAATTAAATTAGCTAATACAGGAAAAGCCCTTAGCTCTTTGAACCTGGCACACATGGTAAGTGGTATATAACTAACAACAACAAGATCCAAGAAGGTGGTAAACTGTATCTTACAAATGAGAATAAGGAAGGTGACTGAGTTAAGTGGCTCATGAACACTAACATACCTACTAGTTTACACATCTCAAACCGAAATCTGAATCTTGGCCTCCAGAATGATAGGTCCTCCAGAAGACCTGTGTCCACCAAAATCCTGCATGGTTGATCAATTACTTCATTAAAAAATTATCGCCTTCAGGCCAGGCGCGGTGGCTCACGCCTGTAATCCCAGCACTTTGGGAGGCCCAGGCAGGTGGATCACGAAGTCAGGAGATAGAGACCATCCTGGCTAACATGGTTAAACTCTGTCTCTACTAAAAATGCAGAAAATTAGCTGGGCGTGGTGACAGGTGCCTGTAGTTCCAGCTACTGGGGAGCATGAGGCAGGAGAATGGCGTGAACCCAGGAGGAGGAGCTTGCAGTGAGCCGAGATCACGCCACCGCACTCCAGCCTGGGCGACAGAGCGAGACACAGTCTCAAAAAAAAAAAAATTATCACCTTCATCTAAAATCATTTAATAAGGCCCTACTTACCTACTTACATATGCCCTAGTGCTAGCCGCTGTACAGCCTGAAACAGATGAAATTCCTTCCTTCCATTCATCCAGAGCCTAGTCACCTTTTTTTTTTTTTTTTACTTTTATTATCATTCAAATGATTTGGGAAATTTCATCATATGCTACATCCTTTCCAAGGCATGCAACCTGACCATAAAATAGAAAATTAATGCTTCAATAACAATAATTTATACAGAAAATTTTCCTGAAAATAACATGTAGACTATTTTCCTTGGCCTTTGTATTCAAACAAAGATGAAAGAACTAAGCTGTTAAAAAGCTAAGCTGTTATTCTTTATCTATTCTTGTTTCAATTACTTTTTCTATGACAAAATAGAGTTGTCTTATTGAGACTGCAATTCAGAATTCCAAGTTCTAGTCTTATCAAAACTTGGCAAATCAAAGAGCTTGAAAGTTATTTTGTGCTTTGTAATACATTTAATTAGGAATCTATTTTGCTTAATTTAAATATTTCTGCATCAGTAGTTACAAAACTATTTCCTTCACTGTATTTTTTAATTTTATTTTTAATTGGCACATAATAATTATACATATTTATAGATACAGTGTGATATATTGATATATGTAAACAATGTATAATAATCAAATCAGGGTAATTAGCATATTCATCACCTCAAACTTTTATCATTTCTTTGTATTGGGAATATCCAAAATTGTCTCTTCTGGCTATTTGAAAATATATAAGTAATTGTTAACTGTTATCACCCTACAGTGCTATAGAACACTGGGACTTATTCCTCCCATCTAGCTGTAATTTTTTTTTTTTTTTTTGAGACAGAGTCTTGCTCTGTCACCCAGGTTGGAGTGCAGTGGCATAACCTCAGCTCACTGCAACCTCCACCTGCCAGGTTCAAGTGATTCTCCTGCCTCAGCCTCCCAAGTAGCTGGGATTACAAGCGCCCATCACAGTGCCCAGCTAATTTTTGTATTTTTAGTAGAGAAGGATTTTCACCATTTTGGTCAGGTTGGTCTTGAACACCTGACCTCAAGTGATCCACCCACCTCGGCCTCACAAAGTACTGGAATTATAGGCATGAGCCACCACACCCGGCCTAGCTGTAATTTTTTTATCCATTAACCAACCTCTTTCTATTTCTATTTCTAGCAACCTCTTTCTATTCCCTTTACCCGCTACCCTTCTCAGCTTCTAAGAACCACTCTTCTACTCTACACTTGTATGAAGTCAACTTTTTTACCTCCCACATATGAATGAGAACATGTGGTTTTTATAATTCTGTGCCTGGCTTATTTCACTTAACATAATGTCCTCCAAACTTATCCATGTTGCCACAAATGACAGGATTTCATTCTTTCTTTTATGGCTGAATAGTATTCCATTGTTTATTTATACCACATTTTGTTTATTCATTCAGTCCTTGATGGACACTTAGGTTGATTCCATGTCTTAGCTGTTATGAATAGTGCTGCAATTAACATAGGAGTACAGATGTCTTTTTGACGTACTGATTTCCTTTCCTTTGGATTAATACTCCAGTGAGATTGCTGGATCACATGGTAATTCTATTTGTAGTTTTTTGAGAAAACTCCATGCCATTCTCTATGATGGCTATACCAGTATACATTCCCGCCAACTGTTTATAAGAATTCCCTTTTCTACTCATCCTTGCCAGCATTTGTTGTTTTTCGTCTTTTTGATAGTAGTCACTTGAACTGGATGAGAAGATATTTCATTGTGGTTTTATTTTTTTGAGATGGAGTCTCACTCTGTCACCCAGGATGGAGTGCAGTGGCGAGATCTTGGCCCACTGCAACCTCTGCTTCCCAGATTCAAGCAACTGTCCCTGCCTCAACCTCCCAAGTAGCTGGGATTACAGGCACCTGCCACCATGCCTGGTAATTTTTGTATTTTTAGTATTTTTAATAGAAACAGGGTTTCGCCATGTTGGCCAGGCTGGTCTTGAACTCCTGACCTCAGGTGATCCGCTCACCTCGGCTTCCCAAAGTGCTGGGATTATGGGCATAAGCCACCACGCCCAGCTTTCATTGTGGTTTGAATGTGCATTTCCCTGATGATTAGTGATGTTGAGCATTTTTCTTTATTATTATTTTTTTTAATTGAGACAGAGTCTCACTCTGTGGCCACGCTAGACTGCAGTGGTATGATCTCGGCTCACTGCAGCCACCAACCCCCAGGTTCAGGCAATTCTCCTGCCTCAGCCTCCCAAGTAGCTAGGACTACAGGCACATGCCACCATGCACACCCGGCTAAGTTTTTGTATTTTTTAGTTGAGACGGGGTTTCACCATGTTGGCCAGAATGGTCTTGATCTCCTGACCTTGTGATCTGCCCGCCTTGGCCTCCCAAAGTGCTGGGATTACAGGCGTGAGCCACCCCGGCTTTTTTTTTTTTTGGATATGGAGTCTTGCTCTGTTGCCCAGGCTGGAGTGCAGTGGCACGATCTTGGTGCCACTGCCTCCTGGGTTCAAGTGATTCTCTGTCTTAGCCTCACGAGTAGCTGGGATTACAGGTGCACACCACCACACCTAGCTAATTTTTGTATTTTTAGTAGCAACAGGGTTTCACCATGTTGGCCAGGCTGGTCTTGAACTCCTGACCTGAGGTGATCCACCTGCCTCGGCCTCCCAAACTGCTGGGATTATTACAGGCGTGAGCTGCCACACCCGGCCAAGCATTTTTTTAGATACCTGTTAGCCATTTGTCTGTCTTCTTTTGAGAAATGTGTATTCCGATTATGAGCCCATCTTTAATCTGATTATTTGGTTTGTTATTAAGTACTTTGTATATTCTAGATTCTAACCCTTTGTCAGATGAATAGTTTGCAGATATTTTCTCTCATTCTGCAGATTGCCTCTTCAGTCATGACTGCCCTTGCTGTGCAGAACCTTTTTAGTTTGATATGATCCCATTTGTCTCTTTTTGCTTTCGTTGCCTGTGCTTTTGAGGTCTTACCCAGAAAATCTTTGCCCAGATCTGAAGCATTTTCCCTGTTTTCTTCTAGTAGTTTCATAATTTCAGGTCTTACATTTAAGTTTTTAATCCAGTTTGAATCTATTTTTGTGTATGGTGAAAGATAGGGGTCTAGTTTTATTTTTCATTCATTTTTCTGCATATGGATATCCAATTTTCCCAACACCATCTTTGAATCTTCCTCAAACCCTTTGAAACAGCAATTCTTTTTTTCTTTTTTAAACTTCTGCGTCTTCCTTCTCCAGTCTAGTTAAGAGAAGGAAACTTTCTGGGGATACAAGGTTTAAACTGATGGACCATTAACAGCATAACAAAGCAAAAGGAATTTTCCAGGTCACCAGCCAACAACTTTAGAGTGGTATTTAAAATTCACTTGCTTAGTGGGG